AGCTTCGAGGTTTTAGGCTTTTGCTGTTGAGGTTTTAGGGTTTTAGGTTGGAAGCTTCGAGGTTTTAAGCTTTTGCTGTTGAGGTTTTAGGGTTTTAGGCCGGAACTTTTGCTGTTAAGGTTTTAAGTTTTTAGGCTGGGAGCTGCATGGTTTGAAGTCTGCCTTTAAAAGTTTTCGGGTTAGGCTAGAAGCTGCTTTGTCTTAGCATCTTTAGTTGTGAAAAAAAAGATCGGAAGAAGAGAGATGGCACATGTTTGTAGTTCCTAGTTTAGGAACTAAACCCTAAAAGGCGGAGCGAACGCCGGGTGGGAGCCGCCCACAAGCGGCGCGGGTGGGAAAATTAAAGGATGCGGAACACGACCCCCGGAAACTAGTGCCACGGCGCTCATGCCCAAGCGGCGACGAAGACAAACGACGAAATGAACCTCCGGCCGCGCCCTCGGTACAAACCCTAAACCCTAAACCCTAAACCCTCAAGAACTCGTAAACAGAAGCTATATAGGGTCGAGCCCTGGAAGCTTTAAAAAAGAAACATGTTTAAAAGAAAAAACTTTTTTTTCCCCTGAACCCTATATAGCTTCTGTTTACGAGTTCTTGAGGCTATATAGGGTCGAGCCCTGGAAGCTTTAAAAAAGAAACATTTTTAAAAGAAAAAACTTTTTTTCCCCTGAACCCATAGAAGCTGAGCCCTGGAAGCTTTAAAAAAGAAACATTTTTAAAAGAAAAAAATTTTTTCCCCTGAACCCTATATAGCTTCTAAGCAATTCCCCTGTGAACTGGGAGTCTTCCAAATTAGAACTGGGAGTCAACTTTTTGCTTTATACATCATTCATATAACAAGAAAATCATATAATATATATATATATACATATATATATATCCAAAAATATCACAATGAACTATACTATAACAATGAGTGTTGTGCACAGCGAATACTCGCACCTTCGTATTTTTTGTGTATGTTCAAGTTAAATCTCAGAGCATTTTGGTTCATTGCCACACGGGGAAGGAAGATTACATGGTCTGAGTCTCAGCTCAACTAACTGAACATTAGAGTTGTTTGATGTGATGTGGTTCAGGTGCCCTCGAACATGGCCAGGCACAGGAAATTAAGGAGGAATTATAACAATATGAACAAAAACAAATCAACAGCCGGGTAATGAAAGTATGCAATAAAATGAAACATGTTTGGGCGACAAATTGGCATGAGGGAGCGGTTCGGTATGCTGTTCTTGTAGCAGGCGCCTGTCCCGATATCATGCCACCTTGGTGTGACTCTTGGCCCTTTTGTTTGTGGCAGCTGGCAGCCAGAAGCTCACCAGCACCGGCCTGGGAAGCAGCTTACAACTGGAAACCACTCAAGGTGGTTGCCAGAAGTTTGCTGCTTGCCAGAAGTGCGCTGGTGATGTAACTGGTTGTCAGAAGCTTGTCAATTTGGTGGTGAGCGTTGCCCTCTTCAGAAACTATGGACGCAGTGTTTCAAAGGCAATGCTGGCAGCCTTGGCTGATGAAAGGGCATGCCTGGTATGCTACACATGCTACCTGGAGGAGTTCTTGGAACCGAGCCTTTCCTGAAGGAATAGGCTGTTGCAATCGAAATTTGTCTTCACGTATCCTTCCGTTTTTTGATATCAGGGAAGATTTTCAATCTTTGATGAATGTGGCCAAAGATTGTCGATGCGACATGCAGACGCAAGTTGCCCAGGTCGCAATGAGCGTATCTAATGAAAGTGTTGCCCGACACACCCAGCAGGTTTCACAAGTTGGCCGAGGCCATGAAGCTAGCCATTCCACCACTCCCTGGTAGGCTTGCAATTTAGTTCATTTCTTCGCTGCATTTGGTTGCACAATGGTCACCGAGGAAAACTTGCTAAATATCAATAATTCTGCTGATGATCAATTGATATTTCTGACCTTGACAGGCTGTGCTGTTTGCTGTGAGCATAGCAAGGGGCTTGGGTTTGTGTCCATGATGCGCAAACTATGAGAACATTGATGCTGCTCATTGTTTGATGCTTGTTGTTAACTGTCGTGTTTTGGCTCGTTTGTGGAGAAACTTGCTCGGGCTGGGCTTTTTGAGGGGACTCTGGTGATTTCCTCAGCTGCTTGCTGCTGCAAAACATTTCAATTAATTGATTTAATTTATAGCTCAATTGAGGTGATCATGCCGATATGGAGATATGACTCGAATGGAGATGTTCAAATTCCAGATGATGAATCCTCTGCAAGTTCAGCCTCTGATTCCTGTTCAGAGTGGGAAACAAGGCCACTGGCTTTAGTTTTGGGCGCTGATGCCTTATTGATTGACCCATATTGACCCCTCCAGGTCAGACTATGAAGTTGAGATCTCCTCTGCACAGCAGGTTAGTCTTGAATATGGCCCGTCGTTTGCCAATGCAACAGGCTTGGTACTTTTTTAAATGTTGTTATGACGGGGCCGGGGCTGTGGGATTTCATTGGTCGCCATTCCTGTGATAGGCTTGGAATCGCACCTCAAGTGTCTGAATGGGCCTCTTACACTGATGACTGATTGCTAGAAACTCAAGGTCTTTCCTTCTTGTCAGCTCTATGCTTTTGATGTGCCACACAAGGCAGTGGGGCAGAAGCTCCTGTTTGGGCTCTGAAGGAGTTGCTCCAGGCTATTGGGAAGAAGGAGCTGATCTGCCACGTGCTCCTTGGCTTAATGGTTGTTTCGGAAACTGATGGTGGACACTGATGGTGGAAATGGCAGTTGAGGTCTTCGTGTGACAATGCACCTGGGCCTCGTACCTTCATTGAGCAGAATTGCCGTGAAGCAAAGTACGGGCCTTCATCGCAGTTTACTCAAGAACATAGCATGAAGTTTTGCACTATGGAGGCTTCACAAAGACTTGTTTGACCGTGACATCTCGGCCTTCAAGAACAAGGTTGAACGTTTTAACTTGAGAATTGCATGTCTTGAGAATTGCATTGCTCCCAGGTGGCCATATATGCAGCGGGCTTCCCCTGCAAAGCCTTTTCAAAACTCAGAGCGCATACCCTCTGGCTTGACGACCCGCAGGCCAAACAATTTTTTGAGGTCACACGCACAATCCAGGCTGTTCAGCCTATTGCTGCTTGCTTGCAACTGTTGTGTAATGATGATGATGCAGCGCTTGCACCCATATTCTTTCCCGCCGCCCCTGGATTTGAGGTTGCGTTGCTTGAGAATGTGCTTGGCATTAAGCCAGTCCTTCCAGAAGTTCTTGACCACCTCAGAAAGATGCTTCCACAGTATGAGATCATGATCCGAATAGTGGATCCGTTCTTTGGCTTGAAAAGATTGGTTGCTGTTTATTGTTCAAGTTCTATCAATCTTAGAAAGATGAGGAAACTTCTTGGAGTCAACGTCAGCCGGCGCCGGTACTATTTTTTCTTGGTCCTGAAAGACTACTTGGCCGTCAAATCGATGGAGGAGCAAATTCAATCGACTTTTGCTCAATTGGAAACCGCTTTCCCCGACAATGTGCCATGGCAGGGGCCTCGTGTTGTCAAGACCAACAAGCGTGTAATGTATAGTGTAGAAAACTTGTCAGGCAATCGTTCTTGGTGAATGTCAGCCGTGCTGATGGCAGGACTTCGCAGGTCGACAACTTTTTTTCAGAATGCAGTGTTTCAGATCAGCAACGATTTGTAAAGGTGTCCAAGAAGAGGATGATGAAAGCAACAAGGAAGTATGCCATCAATAAGAGGTGAGGTTCAAACGTCCTTTCAGTATCTATCTAGAATACAATGGATCGGAAATGGTTGCTTCAGGCCTGCAAAAACAGAGCCCCAATGGCGACACATCAACTGGGACTTCATGAAAGACAGACAGGCCTTTCCTGTAAGACACACACTTTCTGTTGCAGCGCTACTGCCTTGTTGAAGGTTAGACGACCTCGCGTGCAGCAAGCGTTGAAGGAGCTTCGGGGCCAAAACCTTCCCATCACCGAGCGAGGCCTTCAGGCAACACCACGACCTATTATGATGAGAAGTGAGTGGCCATAATCTTTTCTTGGACAGGCCCTGAGCATAGTCTCCGTCTACAAGCCTGACTGGATCATATGCGATCTTTCCCAGAGCATGTCCAGAATTCCGATTCTGGACAATCCTGACAAGAGCATTTTTTGCATTACGCTGGAGCCTTATACATGATTTGGTGACTTAGTGCGTCCATTGTGTGGTATCTGGGAACAAGGCCCAACGGAAAGTGTTGGCTGCGTTCGAAGGGGCGATTCTTGCTAGGCAAGTTGCCAAATGCAAAACGCGCGCTTTCTTGATTACACTGTTGCCAGGGATTGAGAAGCTGATGATGCAGAACTTCCCGATTCACAAACTGGACCTATCTCAACTGACAAACACAGTGCCCGTACCATGCTGTTTCCTGCAAACCATTTGAGAGCCCTGTCCCGTGCCCAGGTGATGAGCCAGCTGGCTGGCAATTCCATGCACTGTCGAGCTGTCGCTGCATCATTTTGCGGGATGTTTAAGGTCAGCTTTGTTCATCAAACTGAGTTCTGTCCGACAAATTGTTGATCAAGGCGCTTGACGTGCAGAAGTTGAATACCTTCTGCTCAAGGGTGGCAAGGATCTTTCAATACTGCTAGACTGTGGTCAGGAATGTCCTACTTCCTTTGTCAGGATGCAGTGACTTTCCAAAGTGCTGTGGCCTTATCAGAATCAGAAGTGAAACTGAAAGGGTTGGGATGAACAACCAGTTGACACCTAGGTCACCGCCGCACCGCCATGACCTTGTGAAGTGTTTCCGTGCATGTTTCAGCTTTTGACATTTGATCTAAAGTGTGGGAAAGTGTGTTGGCTTTATTGATCTATATAAATCCGACTGTCCTGCTCAAGGAACCGGGGTCGGGAGGGTCGAATCTTGCGGGGAGATGGTGAAATCAGAGCCAGAAGACTCTGTTTACAAAGAAGACATCAAAGAAGAGAAGAGCGCGAAGTCTCCTCGTGATCTGATTTGGGAATGCTTTCAGAAGGTCATGGCCCCAATTTCCAGTTTTCTTCTTTTAAACATCATGCCAAAAAATACTGCAACCCGAAGGTGACCGAGGAAAAGAACATTGGACATTGGCTTGATGAGACTTTCCGAGACCGAAGCCGAATGAAGAATGCCATTGGGAGGGTGGCCATGGACCGGGGAGGTGATTTCAGGCCAGTACTCTCCCTGGCTCCAACCACCACTATGAATGATTTTTGGCTGAGCTTGGACCAATTGGATTACTCAATGGATGCCAAACATGGAAGTTCCCTGCCTTAACTCTGACATAGTTTTTGCTCGTCATGATATTGATCACACCTGGACCTGTTTTCATTGAACGTTGAAAATGACATGTTGATAACTTTTGAGTTTATTTCACAGCTGAGTCTATCCACCGACCTGCACGCTGGCGGCTCACTTCAAAAACGTGGTTTACTCAGGGTATGATGCATGGAGGGAACCGCTGAAAGTCCGCTTCAACAACTGCGGCGCAGACCGCAGTATTGCCCCGTTCTCTGTGCAATACCTGGATGGCTTTACCAAAGGCCTCATATGCCAGGCGATCGTTGGAATCTGCGAATTCCTAGATACTTGTTTGCGTTACATGTCTGGAAGATTGGTCCAGAGATTGCCAAGTCAAAAGGTCTTGAAACTTGTCCTGAACCTTTGCCCTGCTTATGGCATTGCAAGTCAAGGAGTTTGAAGAAAGCGATCTGGAGTCGGAGGACCTCAAGCCTTTGCTGGTATCTGTCAGGTACTTCAAGGCCCAATACACTCATCATGCTTCAGAAGCGGATTTCTATTTTGAATCCCTGCGTTTGAACCTCAAGATGTCATTTGATTAGTGTTTGATTGCTTGCTAGCAATTTGTCGCGATAAGCTTTTTGGTTATAGCGGCCGAGGTCTAGGCATTGAGACCGCGGAGAAGCAACCACCATCGGCAGTGGAGTACGCGTGTCAATTCCATCTTGCCATTGGTGTGCAAAAGAAAGCTGGCAAAAAACTGCCTTTCAATCAGATGATGAATGCAGCCATCACTGCATACAACAGCAAGGTTGTGGTGAAGAGATGGAAGGTAGAGGGTCTTAAAAAGAAGATCTGTCAGAATGTATTGAGGTGCCCATCGGATTTCTTGGAAATTGTGAGTTGGCACTATGACCGGCACAAGCACGCTGTATCAGGCACCTCCAGTTCCTTGTGTGAAGTGGACCGGCGATGGTTGAATTGCTTTCTACTGTGCGTGATGTTGATTGTGTCTCGCAGCACTGACTGCAAAACAATACTACTAAATGCTTGCATTTCAATCAACTTGATTTCATGGAGTGGGGTTCAATGGTATCTGTTCTCACGACAAATCAACCTTCAAGATATTAGTTAACATAGATAAGATATTAGATTTGTAAAGTTTTAACTTGCTAGACAGTAAGCCTCAGTAAGCTTGAATACTGTGACGGTGAAGTCACCACTGGGGCTTCCATACATGGTTTCTTGGCCCCTTTGTGCTTGTGCCTGATGGGGCGATGGCGGTGCGCGTCCAGAAGCCGTTCACCCCAAGTGCTCCGCCGCTTCAGTCCCAGTGAGTCTTCTGAGTCGTCTGACTCGGATCCTGCTGACTCCAGCGACTCGAGCCAAGCGGAACCAAGCCGAACCAAGCCACTCGATGCAATCTAATTCATATCATTTGTTCATTTGCGAATTTGAATGTTGTTGCCTGGGCCAACCTTGCTCGAACTCTATCTGCTAGGCCTGCAGCAAACTTGTCTTGCGTTCATTTGGCTGCACTTCGTGCCACTGCTGGTCAAAACGATGAGAAAGGATGCTATGCGCAAAATGGGGCTGATCCCACTCGTATCAAAGAAGTGCTCTCTAGCAGTAGCGGTTGCTGCAAATGCTCGAACAAATGCTACCTGAAGATCACAAAGCAAAAGCTCCAGGAGATATGCACATTCTTCTGGGGCTTGGAGAAGCCAGCGCAGGATGGAATTCTGTGGGCGATGCAGTCAAGTAAGAAGTGCCGCCCTGGCGCTGGAGATAGTTCGTCTAGTGAAGATCAGAGTGACGATTCTGATGCAAAACAGGGTCGCGTTTCCTGGTTGCTGGATGATGTTCCAGTTTGCAGAAGAGCCTTTGCCAAAATGTTGGGCATTGGCCAGTCCAGGTTACAACGTACAAAGCAAAGGTTTCAGGGGCAGGATGAACGGTGGTTGAGCGGACAAGGCACTCGTGACCGAACTGCCCACGCTGCTGCTACAGTGAACATGTTCCTTCAAAAGATGTATTACTCCATCTCCGAGAGCATGCCAACAGGGCCCCTTGATCAGATATGGAAAAGAGTGCGAGTGAATGATTGAACATTAAGTTGACAAAGGTTCCCTGGGCATGGGCAATGTCATATTTTGACAAGTTTTAGAAATCATGGACTCAGTAGATAGTTTGAATGTGAGATTGGCTTGAGGCTTTTGCAGCAATCAGCAAATATGGATTCTGAAGAGAGCCGGGAGCGTCTTCTCAAAGAGTTGCTGCAAGACACATTGCAGGGGCCTACATCGCGCATAATGAAGGCCAATCCGGCCAAGCTTGCCATGCGTGAACTACCGCCTGGGACCTGGTCCCAAATCTACAACCTCTACTGTGCACATCGCTTGGCAGTGAAGGAGGAAGCTGCCAGCAGAAGCACGTTTTACAAGTGCACTGAAGATTGGCGACGGGCTCTCAAGTTCCGGCGGCGCAGCCAGCATAGCATATGCCTCACATGCGACAAAATCAAGTCTCGCATGAGGCACTCATCCAGCTTCATCGAACATGCAAAGCACACAGATGCTTTGCTGGGACACTTGGCTGGTACATGGCGGGCCCGCGAAAAGTACTGGGCTGCTAGGGCCGCTTCTCGTGCGAAGGACGACGTCCTTTGCATAATAACCGATGGATTTGATAAATCAAAACCATGTGTACCGCGTTGGGCACATGGAAGAGCCCCCAAGCATCCTACAGTGGAGAAGCACCCTCGAACAGCGTTGCAGTTGTCTGCATGCTTGGCCCACGGCTGGGGAGCAGTGATTTTCCTGGCTCCTGAACATGTCAGCGCTGGAGGGAGCTTCGCGTGGGAGACAGTCTTGCTGACGATGAACGAAGTATGGAAGCAGAGCACCAAGGAAGGTCGCCGTTTTCCACGATCGCTTCTTTGCCGAATCATTTCCGACAATGTTTAATTTGGACTGATTTGGACTTAACATACAATGAAACGAATCGCTTCTCTTGAGGTTATGGTTGCAGGCGGATAATACGGTCCGTGAGGTAAAGAATGCATTGTCTGGATTCATGTGCGGGGCATTAGTGATGGGACGTTATTGCGACGAAGCTGGACACTTCCATCTTCCAGTCGGACACACCCATGAAGATATAGGCAGGTAGAGCAAATGTGTGCAAACATGCATTCTAAATCCATTGTCCTGACCCTTCTCCGCAGATGCCCTGTATGGAGTGATCACAACGTATCTTGATTCCATCGGAGATCAGCTTCAAACGCCAGCTGACTTCCGCAGGCTATGATTTGTTTTGTGATGCTACCCACTTGTTGTTGAAGTGTAGCGATGCTGTCCATTTGTTGTTGAGTTTGTTCATCCAACCATCCTGTCCTGGACAGACTCTTGGAAAACAAGATCGGGCCAACATTTCATGAGAGGAATGAGTTCTTCCACGTGTTTATGATAGATGGTGTCCCTCGATCAGATTGGTTCGAAATGTATACAAATCAGTTCAATCAATGTTTGCTTCAGTCATGATGACTATCAGGTAAGACCTTGGAAAGAGTTGGCTCCAAAAATCACATCTTTGGACAACGCCTACCGTCCACGCAAAGGGGAAGACAATAGAGTTCCCCACTCATTTCTCTTCAAGCCGCGAAGCAGTTTCTCTATCACTAATTTCATCCAATTTTGCAAAACTCTTTGTTAAGTCCTGTGGATGTGTGGTCTGCATTGCAGTACTAAGAGATTGAAGTTCCATTTGCCTTAGAGAGGTTTTTGCTGTACCAAGGTTTGCCTGCAAATGCAAGACTTAGTGAGCGTTTGCCACGGCGATTCAATCCGAACCACAAGGATGTTTTTGCTTGCGTCAAGCACGAGCTTGCAGATGAGGATTGGATGCAAGACCCGCTCCTGACCCTTCCAGGTGATGAGGAAATGGAAATCCAGCAGTTTTGGCTGAGAGCTCTTGGCCATGTTGGAACCAAGACGCACCTGTCACCGGATCGGTGCGAAGCGCTGAAGGAACTGGCGGATGCCTTGTCAGGCTACCCACAATACGAGAGGGCGTGCGCCTACATGCGAAGCATTGCAGGGGCAACGTCATACCCACGACGGGACGCATGGCCACTGGAATTTCTAAGAGATGCTGCTGTCCATGCTGAGAGGCTTGTGATTGCCAATTTGCCTCCCCGGGAGGAACGCCCAAGGGCACATGAACTTCAAGTGCACTTTCACCATCTGCGCAGAGGGTGATTGGAAAAAAGAATGAAAAAGAGTTTGGGAGGGCTTGCTGCCAGTGACATAGATGCCACTGGCTAGTTTGGTTGCCAGTATGATTCTGGCAACCAGGCATGTCTGGTGGTAGCCATACCTGGCAAGCTAGCTTCTTGGCGCTGCTGCCTGCTGATTCTAGTGTTTCCTTTTCACACTTTGCTGTTCAAATGTCCTTCGTCAATAAATTGGTTTGCGCCTTGTTTGGACAGGTTTTCCTTATGAAGTCATGGGCAGCGGCCATTATGTGCCTGGCTACGAGCGGCATGAAGCAGCCAAGTACAAGGGCAAAAAGGTGTGGGAAGAGATCATGCAATGCACCAACGAGACAGCGATTGAATACGCGGTTCGTGTCGATGCCGACTTCAATCGAAAGATCCAAAAGGATGCCAGCAATCGCGCCAAGGTTCGTTTCCTTCTTGGAAGGAATGACGTTGTCAAGAATTTGCCATAATTTTATTTTCTTGTCATTGTGTCATTTCTCTTGACTTTGATTTTGGTGGTGTGCAGTGCCGGCCAGAAAGCGCAACAAATGACCCTGGAAGAGCACCAGCAGCTGATGGACTGCGTGTGCCTTTGGACTTGGCTCAAGTCTCGCCTTCGAACTTCACTGGACGACGAAGTCTTCAAGAGGGTGTGTGAAATGTGGTCTGCGGGGATACTCGGACGCAGGTTTTGGGAAACCCACATTAGTACTTTTTCAGCACCCTCCCCTTGCATAGCCAGCCACTGAACAACTCCCCCCAGGTTTGACAATCAAGCCACCGCAAAATCCTGATGGAGAAAAACCGGTCACTCTAAAATCAAGGTGCATAAAAACCGGTCACTCCAAAATCCAGGTACGGAAAAAACCCGTCACTCCAAAATCCAGGTACGGCAAAAACCCGTCACTCCAAAATCCAGGTACGGCAAAAACCCGTCACTCCAAAATCCAGGTACGGAAAAACCCCGTCACTCCTAAATCCAGGTACGGAAAAAACCCGTCACATTGAAATTTTGGTGCCAAAAAAACCCGTCAGGCTTGGAAAGCCATCTCAACTTCCAAATTGTGATGGGTATTTCGAAATACCCGTCGCAATTTTGATGTAAAAATCTGAACCAATCAGAATTTGGAATTGACAATCGGGCCTGGAGTTTGATTGATTTTTTTCTAAATAGGAAATTGTGATGGGTATTTCGAAATACCCGTCGCAATTCCGGGGACGACCTCCAGCGCAAATTGTGATTGATTATTTTGAAGATTTAGTGGAA